CAGTACACCCAGTACAAACCAATACACACATACACACAGTACACCCAGTACACCCAGTACACCCAGTACACCCAGTACACCCGGTACACACATACACACGGTACACACAGTACACACAGTACACACAGTACACACATACACAACACACCACCCAGTACACCCAGTACACACAGTACACACAGTACACACAGTACACACATACACACAGTACACACAGTACACACAGTACACCCAGTACACCCAGTACACCCGGTACACACAGTACACACAGTACACACGGTACACACGGTACACACAGTACACACAGTACACACAGTACACATACACACAGTACACACAGTACACACAGTACACACATACACACGGTACACACAGTACACACAGTACACACAGTACACACATACACACAGTACACACAGTACACACAGTACACACATACACACAGTACACACATACACACAGTACACACAGTACACCCAGTACACCCAGTACACCCAGTACACCCGGTACACACATACACACGGTACACACAGTACACACAGTACACACAGTACACACATACACACAGTACACACATACACCACACCAACACACAGTACACACAGTACACCCAGTACACCCAGTACACCCAGTACACACATACACACGGTACACACAGTACACACGGTACACACAGTACACACATACACACAGTACACACAGTACACCCAGTACACCCAGTACACACAGTACACACAGTACACACAGTACACACAGTACACCCAGTACACCCAGTACACCCAGTACACACAGTACACACAGTACACACAGTACACACATACACACAGTACACCCAGTACACCCAGTACACACAGTACACACAGTACACACAGTACACACAGTACACACATACACACAGTACACATACACACAGTACACACAGTACACACAGTACACACATACACACAGTACACACATACACACATACACACATACACACAGTACACACAGTACACCCAGTACACACAGTACACACAGTACACACATACACACAGTACACACAGTACACCCAGTACACCCAGTACACCCAGTACACACAGTACACACAGTACACACAGTACACACGGTACACACAGTACACACATACACACAGTACACACAGTACACACAGTACACCCAGTACACCCAGTACACCCAGTACACACAGTACACACAGTACACACATACACACAGTACACACAGTACACACAGTACACCCAGTACACCCAGTACACCCGGTACACACAGTACACACAGTACACACGGTACACACGGTACACACAGTACACACAGTACACACAGTACACATACACACAGTACACACAGTACACACAGTACACACATACACACGGTACACACAGTACACACAGTACACACAGTACACATACACACAGTACACACAGTACACATACACACATGCATAGGAATGCATGTGTGTAGAGAGGTGCCAGGTTGTCCGATTTCAGCAGTGTCTTGCTCAACGAGGTGAACTGGCACCTCTCCAGCTACTTGTCGGGACTTGAACCGGCAACCCTTCAGTTCCCAAGCCAAGTAGCTAGAAGTCCCCAGATTCTGCATTCGACCTATATAGTGCAGCTATAACGCGCAGTGCCTGGGAGTAGTGTAGAGGAAGATGCCTTGCTCAGTGGGATTCGGTTGTCTCAGGATACAATACATCATCATAGGCGCCTTGCTCAATGGCACCTCGGGGGTACTTGATAGTTCCGTGATGACGCTCTACAAAAGAGAAGAAACAGCGTTCTATTTCCACATGAACTAATAAAACAGGTTTGCTTGAAGACATTGAGGGAAACCTTTACTATTGATTGAGGATGATAATGCAAGAGAAGATTATGATGAGATATGAAAGGTTGCCTATGAACATATATCAAAAGTGTAGGCTTTTACTTGCACTTGCATAAGGATGGAGAGAAAATCTAAGCTATAGTTAGCTTAAATGTTTTATTAAATAGTATGGCTATATAGTTACTCTCACTAATTCCCTGTCCACCACTGGCCATGTGACGAGGCTTAGTGCGAGTGACTATTGAGTTGTGAAGCTTTCCAAGTCCAGATAGAAAGTCCCTTTGACCAAAGGTCAACAGCCATGTAGCTGGAAATACTCTGTTTCATGTTTTTAGGGATTTACAGGTCATTATGCCCTCTCTAGGGTCTAGTAGATTTAGCTAGGAAAACATGTCCTTTTAACAACTGTATTTATACAGTCTTTAAAGGAGTATGTTCAGACAAAACTACATTTTAGAACACTCCCTGGAACACATCCTGCTAATGATATATTTAACCAAACACCATTTTGTATCTTTTACCTAATAGAACCATTCTATAAACTTGAAGGAACTAACGTTAACTAGCTCTCCTCCTGCTGATTGTAAAAAGGATCTGTTCACTATGTAGTACTGTATCAGGGAATCATAGGGTGCGTCATGTGACTTCAGTGTGACCCAACACATTTGATATTGCCTTGGTTGCTTCTTATGTACTGTAGGAACAAACTGTTGTTTCACATTTTCAACTTGGTACGAGAGCATCAGTCCTTGTGATATCCCCATTTATGATTCTAGCTATTCCCAGATAGTATAAGGAAGGCAAGCCCAGTTATAAAATGTGCGTTTGCAGGCCACTCCCGGCCCCCCCTCCCTGTCATTTGACCAAGCCAGAGCATTCAGTTAAACATTCTTTCTCACCGATCTCCTCATGTCTCCCTGTGCGGTGTCCAGAGGCAGCAGAAGATCCAGAGGGACCGGCTGATGAACGACTTCTCAGCGGCTCTCAACAACTTCCAGGCGGTGCAGCGGAGCGCGGCGGAGAAGGAGAAGGAGTCTGTGGCTCGGGCCAGAGCCGGGTCCCGCCTGTCGGTGAGTACAGTCAGGAGATAAAGACTCCAGGGAGGAAGTGTCAGATCAACTGTGTAAACTTGATCATCTTTGTTTCGCTAACATGACTTTGGCAATAGTGGATTTTCTCCTCCCCCGCAGGCCGAAGACACTTCTCGGGATGAGAGGCTCGTTTCCTTTGATAAGTAAGTGACTGTCATTCATTAGGTTTGTATGGAAACCCAAAGTCTTCAAGATAATAATATCTATAATATTAATCATTTGAAACATTATTTCATAAATGATCATTGATCAAAATACAGACAAAATATATACGTGAGCTTCTAATTTGAGTCAGTCTAATTCTTTTTGATAGCAGGAAATGACCTCACTGTATCTTTAATATGTTCTATTGTAGTGACATTTACCTCACAAATCACATTAGTCCAGTCAATTGTCATTTTAGTTTTAAAACCAATCACAAAGTCAAACTGTAAGAACAGATGCAGGTAACGAGAATAAGAAATAAAGATTCCCCACCCTTCTAAATATAAATTCACCAAACAGAACTGTGATTGGACGGTTGATTGACAAAGTCTATCAATCTGAACAAATAAAAAGCTCCTCTGCACCCCCCCATGGAACTGTTTGTGTTTCATTTTGAAGATAAATATAAAATGCTTTCAATAATTTGTCTAAATAATTGTAAAATAAAACCTGAGAAAAGTATAAACAATGAGGCCATTATGAATTTTTCATCATTTTTGATTAATAATAATACAAATAAAAATAAATAAAGAAACTATAATAAAGAATAAATAAATATGGAAATAATACCGTCTGTGGGACAACACATAGCCCACCCAGTCTTCCTGCATGACACAAATCAAAAGTAATCATTCCATTGTAATATCATGTGCTGTTATGTGTTGAACGCAGCTATGTGTAGCACTCTGGCCCTAAAGTATATCTTATCTTCTATAAATGTCACTCCACGCGTTTAAATTGGTTATTTCAAAGTTGATGTGCGGTCATGAACATACTATTGACTTTCAATTTTCCACAAAAGAGAAGTTACAAAAGTCTTTGTTTGCAGTCAACGATAGTTGTTAGGGGAAAGATATACTTCGTCCAAGGAAATTGCCCCTCGATAAGCAATATGTTATATTTCACTTTATTTATGCATATTTTGTCTTCCATACAAAAATCAAGCCAGTAATAAGTGAACTCAGATTGATGGAAGAGGGTTAGGGGATCCTAATGGCACAACATTTTTGAGATCTGACCAGTTTTTTGTTTTATAATTAAAGTCATAATTATCAAACAAAGAAGTGTGAGAGAATGTGTGAAAGTGTGAATAATAAAGTACTTAACATAACTTCAGTTTGTGTAGAATTTCTTTCATGTATAGAATTGTAAAAAAAAGAGAATGAGCCTCAGCAATGTACAATGATCAGTGCACGAGGAAGCTCAGCTCTAGTCCATGAACACGAGAAGTTTCTGCTCATTATTCCAACGTGTTACTCTCTTTGAAAAGTGTCTTCCTGTTTGTGTAAAGCCAGGAGGACTGGGGTCAGATGACCACCCAGACAGAGGAGGCACCTATTACAGAAGAGGACCTGGAGCTCATCAAGGATAGAGAAACCAACATCAGACAGCTGGAGGTCAGCCTCACATCCCATGGCTGCCTGCCTCTGCTTAGTCTACCTTCATGCCTGCCACAGCTGACTCCAGCCTCATGTCTGTGTGTTTGTGTGTTTCAGTCGGACATTTTGGATGTAAACCAGATCTTTAAGGACCTGGCACTGATGATCCACGATCAGGGGGAGATGATTGGTGAGCGGCACTGAACACACCACCAGGGGACCATGCACACAAACACATCTGTTCCACTTATTTTCTATTAAACTCGCACAGCACTGAAGTAAAACCATTTGAGAGCATATACCTTTTACCACACTGGCTGCTGTGGCCATACAGGGTTACAGAATAAAGATAATTATGTCAGGCCATTTTTGTCACTAGAATTTGAAGGATATTAAGTGTGTATTCACTATACCAGAATATAAAGAGCAGACAAAGTATTCATATTTCTCACAATGATGTAGACATGATACTGAGTAAATAGGAGGAAAACAAATGTTTTGATTTAAAAGCATAAGACTCAAAATAACATGCTGTGTGTATTCATAATCATTTCAGAATACACAGAAATAATGTATAGAGAAATAGAAAAAAGCTTCTAGTGAGGTTAAAGTTAGGTTGTTTCTCGTAGGCCGCAACATTAGAATAAGTTTAGGAAACTAAAACTAGTGCAGCCTTTATTCTCCACAGACATTTATCATTCGCTTCAACTAAATGTGTTTCTCAGGATAATGGGAACAAAGGTGACCAATCATGTTGTTTTATTGGTGTCTCTCATCATTTGAATTATAATGATTCTTTCATTATTCTGGCAATGAGAGTAATTATTAAAACATTTTCGCCATGTGCTTTTTGTACGTCAACCGGCCGCTCTCACACAGCCAGCAGCTCAAACTGCATGAATTCCCCAATATGCACATAGTAAAATGGTTACTCCGTCGCCTGAGAAAGTATTATAACTTAAAAGCAGTTTATTCAAAAGTATGAAAAGGTAAGTAAAGGTTGATTAAGCTGTTGTTGTTGTTATGCAAAGTAATAGCACTTGTACTCTAACAGAAGTACCATCACAAAAGAAGGCAATGTGGAAGCGCACTATAGCAAGAATATATTCTGTAAGTTGAATAACAACAATTCCCAAAGAAAGGAAGGTTGGTCAACTGTTCTAGGGAAACACAGTATTTTACATGTAATGTCTTGAAAATGTCTGTTTGATATCTGTGCGAAAACTAATACAAATATTTCAAAAAAAAAGAAAGGAAGGTTCAAGTAAAGACCTGAAGTGTTTGTTTTCACCGTAAGAGCCCTCTGACTTCACCAGCTGACCTCGCTGTTTGTTCCGCTCGCAGATAGCATCGAGGCGAATGTGGAGAATGCTGAAGTTCATGTGGAGCGAGGAACAGAGCAGCTGCAGAGAGCCTCCCACTACCAGGTGAGTGTGCTGCCCCCTGTGCTGACCCTGAGGTGAGACCCTGCCCCTAACACTCTGTCTCTGCTTCTGCTTCTACAGCAAAAGTCCCGGAAGAGGATGTGTATCATTGCCATGGTTTGCTCCATAGTGCTCGTCATACTTGCCATCATTATCTGGCAAGCTGCTAAGTGAGTTGATTCTGCACAACCGATGTGTCACTTCTGTATTTTACTCTGCACCTCCCACTTGCAAGTCCCTGCTCGGCATCATGAGAATAGGAAGAGGTTGAGAACATTAGGTCTGTGCAGATGGATGGTCCAAAGCATCTGAACTGATCACGCCTGTTTTTATAAAATGTTATAATGAAAAAAGCTCCTATTTAAACTGACATAAAGGACTGAGGTGATGAAGGGGAGCGATCATTCATTTCTTATTTACTGCACTAACATTAGCTCTCACTGTATTTAAAAAAAAGTATCTTATTGTCAATGAAAGGAAAAACGAGAAAGGAAACACAACTTGTTAAAGTGGATTCATGTGTTGTTTTAAGGGGTGTCACTTTGTTTCTTATGATGTAAAGTGTGAGTGCCTGGCATCCCCTGTAGCATTACACGGGACCTGTATGTCTCCTGGTGGTGACGTCTGTAATATACACATTCTAAAGCTCTAACAGATGACCAATATCAATCTAATCCATGTTTGTAAATACTACAAAGCGCTGCATTATATTCTGCCAAGTACACTATGGATCATAAATAATGACAGTATCTCAACAATGAAAGTCACGTCTTCAAACAACACATTTTTAGTTTGATTTCTATGACTCTTGAAGTATGCATAATAAATGTCTTAAACACGTCTGGAGGTGTCATCAGTTGTGTCCACATGTAATCTCTGGGGTTCTTAAATGTAAACTGCACTTTATTTACTTTTTATTTTCCAGATTTTGTCTGTCATGTCAGTTTTGATATAGCAAAAAAAACGAAAACACTAGGATACTGCATGGCTGACAGACACATCAATGCCCAGACACACTTTCAACTATATATCTGGCAGTGCAGGTAAACACACAAATCACAAAAAACCAAAAGACAGGAAGTAAAACCAGACATGACATAAGGAGAATGTTTGAATGAGAAAAAACATAAACAAGACCATGACAGGGAACTGTTGATTGGGTCGTGAACTAGTGTGTCATGGATGAAGTGGACTATGGTGGCACAGTGGAGCATTACCAGATCATCTTCATCTCTTACCCAACAGCAAGATTAGGTACATATCACAATCAAACAGATGATCACAATAATAATCTGGGGTTAATCATGATTTAATCACGGGGGGCCGGGCGGTCCTGGTTGATTTTGTTTGGAAGCAGGCCCAGACACAATGTTGTAGAAAATCAACAATGTACAGCTCGTTATGTTCCTGTGACTTTGTCCAGATTGTAAAACTGAAAAGGTCAGCCTGGAGAATGTAAGAACAATTAAAGAGAATTATTGTTGAAAAGTTCTACCTTTCAGTTATTAAAGATGCTTATTACACGGCTAATGTGAATACTACATTCTGATCAGTTGTTGTTCATTCTCGCTAACACACCACTGCTAAGGAGGATCAAGGGAGACTGCAGTCATCAATCTGCCGAAAGAAGTCCGGTCAATTTAACGTCAGTTAGGGACAAACATTTATTTTTTAATATATCAGGAAAGACCATGCAATACATAAAAACAAATAATTCATTTTTATATTTTTTCGAGAGCATGAAACTTTGGATTTTAAACGGTAAAGAAAGTAAAGAAAAGGAAAAGAGAGGTCAACACGCTGAGTGATGGTCTGCTGAAAATCAACAGAAGAATACAGACAGGAAGTAAACACTAATGGGAACGGGAGAAGAAGATATACAGGAAGTAAACACTAAAGGGAAC